GTATCTCACTCATAGACTACCAACATCACGATTGATTTGTGTATACTGATGTGCTTTATGAAACTTTTCATTATGTATATAATAAAGAAACACAAATGAAAATAAATGTTTGTGAACTTCATAAAAGTATTCTATTGTGTTGATAATTAAGTCCCATCACGAACTACGGCTGCATCCTCCTCGTTATGCTTATCTAGTTCACATAATTTCTTTGTTCATAAATCTACTTTTGGCAGCAATGTGATTTTATAAATCAAGAAGATGGCCTGAATATCACAGATTAATTATATCTCTATGATCACCGAAAATCGCTGATAGAACTTTGATCACGAGAAATTAATTGGTGCTTCATTTTGACTATAATGGTTACGTGATGATGATGGATTTTACCATATAAGAGTGTTATTTCCGGCCATCTAGAGGTAGGCCTACCTGTACAATACACAAATTTTCGAGTGTGAACATACAGTTTTCAAGTAGGTAAAATAAATACAACAAAGACAATGTTTTAAATTTATTTTCTATGGTATATCACAGATATTTAGATCTCTTATTGCCAAAAATCCCTTATAAGATCATTAGGAATTTGTCTGCGCTTCATTTTGATTATAATGGTGATGTAATGATGATGAATATTACTATTTAAGAGTTTTAAGTTTGGGCCGTTAATAACAAGATTGGGTGTATTAATTAAAAAAAAAATTAATAATATAAATTGTCGACTTATACAGAGCATATTATAGAGACCTAATGCGCTTACATTATTACCCCGGTCACTGGATCAAGCACATATGGAACATGCACTCAGGCCCCATGGGGGAATTCCATAATGTTGCAGCTCTATTCAGCGCAGGCTGTGTTTGAACCTACCAGGTACCCACTTGTACTCCTGGGTGGAGAGTGACAACCGTAGATAAAGTGCCTTGCCAAACGACACAAGCGACTTCCACAGCGACAGTTTCGAACCCCGACCTCAAGGTTGAGAGTCCAAGCCACAACTAATGTGCCAACCACTTCTAAAAATTAATGTAAATCTTGTTACTTGTGTGCTATTAAGATTTTAAAAAAAGTTTCTTGTATTTTCATGCTTTTGTCCAAAGCACGAGAGGGAGAAAAATAGCCAGGGCAGAGGGAATACCAGGGAGTACAAAATTTTGTTCTGCAACCCGCATTTTGTGCCTTCAATAAGGGTCAGTAATTAGACCAAGGCAGCCATAAATGTTTCTCGAAAGATGTTTTGCTATGAAAATCTGCAACGGAAGAACAGCTTAACAGAATAAACGTGGGACACTAAAGCTGGACACTCACTGCGTCGCAACAAATCCACGTTTGCTTCCGCTGAGCGAGACGACGCAACGTCGTCTGCTGATGTCAGTAGCAATCTGAATGGATCCTCATTAAAAAGACGATCCGTTGGGTCCGCTTCTTCGTGTATATTCTTCGTCGCGTTGCCGCCGTCGCACGCAGTGAGTAACCGGCTTAAGATAATCATGATTCAGAGCACACAAACACTGATTATCACCAGGTTTGAAATCAACTACGCTATACCACAACATACTGACCAACACACATGTAAATCAATCTCACAGTGGTTGACAACATCTAAAACGATCCTTTAACTTGTGATATAATTTATTGCAACACAATTACAATTGTTTTTTACATACAATCACTTAAAATGCCTCAATATTAAAAAAAGATAATAATAATAATAACAATAATAATAATAACACAGTAATAATACTTTATAAAGCACACAATGCCACTGCAAGCAGTACTCGTGGTGCTTTCAATTCTTTGTACAGAAAAAAAAATTCCATATTTACTATGAAGTAATTTGCATGTTTGTCATCCTCTGTTTACCACAAATTTTTCCACAAACATTACAATTATTTTTATTGTAAAGCATATATTTTGTGGTATACAATGACAAAGTTTATTTCTTAATAGTAGACCACTGAATATTTAGTAAATGGGGAAGGGTCTTTATGTTGAATAGAGCCATGGAATATAACTGCAAAATAATCCATTAAACATTTTATAATCTCAAAGCACACAACTATCCTATTAAATATTTTTCAATGCATATACAATATTACGAACTTGATGAATATTAATTAGAATGATATATGCATTAATGATTACAATAATGCATATTCATAACATCATAGTTATCGCATTGCAGTCTTCAATATTCAATTTGCACCATCCAAAATATTTTTTTTTTTTTTTACAAATTTCATAGAGAAAAGGTTTTGGCTAGGATCACGTTCCAGTTGCGTTACTGCTTTTCGATTTAAGTCTAAAACGTTGAGATGAATGTGTACGCCGCACCAGGGGCTTTGCTGACGAAGGTGGGGAGGGCCTTGCTGATGTAGGTGGGGAGGGTTGCAGAGATCTTGGAGCTCCGGACTCGCTGCTACAGTTTAATGGCGTGCGTCTAAAACTGCTAGCTGATCCTGGTGGACTTGGGACCTGAGAAGCATAAACAATTCCATCTGGTAAGGGGTATGGTATGGTAGTTTTTTTCTACTTCCCTGCATGTGCCAAGTTGACAAGTACACAGGGAAATAATGCACTTCCTGCTTTAAACATGAGTCATATGTAAACTTTGTAATTTTACCCTCACAGATCGTAATGACTAATGTAGGTGAACGGTTTACTGTTTTAATATTTATGAGGTATAGCGAAACAAATGCAGCGTGGTTTTATTACAGTAAATCAGTAAATTTTACTTCCCTCGTAGTTTGATGATTGGGACACCCTCCCTCCGCTTTATGTTTGGAGGTAGTCGCAATCATCAAACACCTCAAAAAGTAGAATTCATTACTTTACCTCAAACCATATTGTATTTGTATTACTACTGTATGTTAGCATTATACTGTACATTAATTACATTTTTTAATACATATCCATCTAACACAAGATCAACAAGGAGTCATTCCATGGTGGTGGGAACTACAAAAGGATTATAAATTATGATACAATTCATAAAATTTGTTTTCCCACTGCAATGCATGATAATTTGAGAGCAGCATAGCTCAGTCGGTTATTATAGGTGGCAGCCAATGGTCAAGCATATAGTGCCTTCCACAGAAAAAACCGTCTCAAGGCACTTTTCAGCCACAAGAAACAAAAACAAAAATTAATTAATGAAAAAGTGCAAATGCGAAGGGGGCAGGGGGAGTGCGCAGCCTCAATTTTGAGATAGCTTCGGCATCACCAGATTGCTAGGCACCCGTAGCCTCCACCGAGGATAAGCCTACGGCTCCCCTACCTCAAGTAAGGAGGTGCGACTTTTCAGGTTATGTGCGCTGAACCGTGGAAATTCTTAGGTAGGTGGTTCAATTCAATCCGCAGCTCTCCTTGTGTTTCAGCTGCATGGCTGAGATGCAAGTACTGTGTAAAAAAAAAAAACGCACTGCCATAGGTTGTCCAGTGGATCAACCTTGTTTAAAGTGATTCTCATAAAATAAGAATTTTAAAAATACACTTATAACAATGCAACTTACAGTTTGTTGTAAATGCTTTTGGATACTTGGACTTGAACCAGCACTCAATCTTCTGGCCGTGTCTTGTTTTGTTGTGCTTTTTGATGGACTATTTGGAGGCATTTGGCTTAACCTACAAGCTGAGGACGGAGGCGATGGACGTCCAACTGGACTCAATGGTTTCAAGGGATGAAGCGTTCTCCTTTGAAAAATACAAAAAATATACAACAATTTTACTAGTAATTGTATACAATATTAAATGAATAAAAGCTCATTGTGCAAGTTCTTACTTTGGTGAGTTGGGAAGACTCTTTTGATCATTCTTGAAGACTGTAGAATTAGTCCTAATGTTGTCAACCTTTTTCTGAAGTCGGTTTTTTTCATGTTGAAGTTCTGAAATTTCACAAAAATGGTCACAATAATATTATCATTCAGAGTAAATAGATCAACAAAAACAGTACACTTTACATCATCTCATTGTCATCATCTCAATCTCATTGTCATCAATATTATCATTATCATCATCATCACCATCACCAGTCATCATCCCCCACACCTACCACCACCGTCTCAAAAACCACCCCCACCACCACAACCAATTTCCCTACCACCATCATCACCATGCGTACCACCATTATCATCATTGTCAATCATAATCATACCATTACTGTTCTCCTGAAGCTGTTTTTAGCCATCAATTTTACCGGTAAAAATAACTGGCCAACCAGTAAAAATTTTGAGATTGTAAAATAATAAAACCACTGATTAGGCCTGTAGGTAGTCTAGCCTGGCCTTCTTTCAATAAATGAATATCATGCCAGTCTATACCTAGGCTATGACTATATGTGTTGTTCTTTTTTCAAGTCAAAGGGGTGAAAAAAAAAAATCAAAATTTAGTTTTTGGTGTTTCTGCAAGTAGTATTCTTTAAAACAGTATTTATTTGATGGAAATTAGTTGAATATTAGCAAAGTTATGAATATTTATTTCACTGGATATCAACCATGTAGTTTTTGAGAAAACAGATTCCAAAGATTCCAAAATCAATAGTTTGTTACTAAGATTTGTATTTCAAAAATAATTTTAATATAATTTTCAGTTAGATATAGTGATTGATATTTTGCAGAAATGTTCTTCAATATATCTCCTTTCATAAAATTAAAAAACATGAGAATGTTCAAAATTCAGATTCTCGAATGTTTTGGGTGCTTGTGGGAAATTAGAAAATGCGACTAAAGCCGCAATCGCACTGGATTTAAAATAGGGAAATTTTTACCGAGACTGTGGGTAACATTCCAATGGGTAAACTTCCTGTCGTTCGCACTGGGATTTATCGACGTGGTTAGTTTTACCACAGGCCATGGTGAAACTAACCATTCGTACAGATTCAACTATTGGGGGCGCTAAATCGTGATGTTCACTTCCGGTATGTGTATGTGTGGCAAAACAATTAACAAGTGAAAAAAATGACAAAATTACTCAAAATCAAGACACTAGCAAACACGCGCGAAATTAATCAAGATGTTTGTGTGTGACGTTTTATTCCAGGTCACAGCTCATGCGTAATTGCCTGACAGCCTGAGGAAGGTCATTCACTGT